TCTCTCTCTCTCTCTCTCTCTCTCTCTCTCTGTGTGTGTGTGTGTGTGTGTGTGTGTGTGTGCCCGGAAGCAAGCTTACCCGGTTGACCCGTGCGTAGCCCAAAAAAAAAATAAAAAATTTTGGCGTGATGGACCACGGATCATATATTAAATTGATCAGGACAGATACTACACTTCATCTTAGCGAAAAGGCCGAGAAAGGTATACCACGCTTCATGCTTTAGATCTCCACGATTCCGATTCTTGTCCCTCCCGCTTCTTCTCCTCTGCCCCTTCACCTCAACAGCCTCGATGACCAGCATCTGTCGCATTGCTTTACTATCGAACGGACTCACTTACAAGTCGAACCTATCCATCTGGGCCGTAGGGCAAGGTAACAATCCATCTGGGCCATCGGGCAAGGTAACAGTCCATCTGTATAGTAATGCGTCCGGTGACCACACTGCATGTTCATTTGTGTGAAATTCCAGTGTTTCCCACTCCTCGCTGCTGTTGTGTGTAGTGGACCATCGGTTGCTGACGTCTTCACATTGACGTTCATGTATATCTTTATTTTACGTTGACTACATGGCTTGTACACTGGAGTGCTTCTTGTCTCCGGTGTGGTGTGGCTTCCATGGTTATTCATGATATCCTTGTCTTCCAGTGCGTATGTTCGGTTTTGATGTTGTTTGGTCCAGCGGTGCAGTTCTTCCATTCTCAACAACTGCTTTCCCCCCTGCTGTCCCTCCGCTCTCCTGCTGTCTTCCCGGAAATTCCTTCACGCATTACGACATTCAAATTTACGTCGCTCATTCTTCTCGCATGGCTGTTCGACTCTTTTCCGCCTCACCACACGGCACGCTAACTTTGCCTTACCCCACTACTCCCACGACCATTTCCGGACATTTCCTAATAATGGTCGGCGGTAATTCCGTCCCTCCTTGTCTTGCGTGCGATCCATGAGTTTCCTTTTTGGGAAACTGCCCATTCCTCCTTGGAAAAGGGCGAGAGGGCCTTGAGATCTCATCATGGAACTGACCGGCCTTAGGAAAGTCAGATTTTTTTATTTTTTTTTTTATGTTTAAGTCAGAAAATTCATTCTAGTTCAAAACTATTCAAATTTCGAACTGGAGTGTGTACCAACTGAGCTGGGCCAGTTGGTGAAACTGCCCCATTCCTTCTTCTTTTTTTTATATTTTTTTTTCTATTTTTTTTTCTTTTTTACACTAAGCTATATTCGTCACTCATATGCCTCACACTACCTATCCTGTTATCTCAGTCCAGTTTCAATCCGGAATTGTTGCAGTTATGGGTTGATGAATCCCAGCCTTCCTGCTCAACTCTGCTCTATAGGGGGGGGCAGCACCCCGCGGCTCCTAACACCTGGCACGAGCTGGAAAGCAGCCAAATGCGTCCACAACCAGCCAGGAGGCCCAAGCCAACAATCTCCGTGGGTGAACCCGAAGCACACCCCCAGGAGGCCGCGGGGATCGAAAGGACGACGTCGGGGTATGGCCCTTATGTACTCGATCAACTGAGCTAGCCCGCTTGGGCGAAACTTCCCCACTCCTATTTTTTCCCCAAGCCTGCGTTTTCGTCTCATCATTGTCCTCAGCCTCCTCTCTACTTCTACTAATTTCCTAGCCCCTTTCCACAGACAGAATTTGTAACATATCATTTTCCATACGTCCATAGACTCCATACTCCTACTTCAAGCATGCCAAATAAGTCTGAAAGTTGTCGGAACCCGCGCTCAATATGATGTCTCCCATCATGAATGCATGGACGTAATTCAATTGATATGATAGCTCATGTCAACAGCAGTGCGTCATCATAGAAGAGCAGAGAGAGTGGAGGGATAGAGGATAAATAAGAGAAACGAGGAGGAGGAGGAGGAGGAGGAGACAAGAATAGTAAACAATAATTTATGTATGTCGCCTATCTTCTTCCCCACTTCCTCATCGGGCTTCTCCCCTCTCGCCACATCAGCAATGTATGATCTCTTCGGACCACCTCAGACAGACATATCGCTGCGCATCCCAGCAGAGCGGCCATCCTACCGAGCACATGCATATCAAGCTATGGAGGATGGAGCGGGCGCTCCTCGCCTTCGTGAAGACCAGCAGCAGATGACTCACGATGTCGCCAGGTAAGTACAGGTAAGCTTCCCTTCGTCTCCCAACCTCAACCACACAGGTAAGATCCTCCTCCTCGTCCTCGCCCAACCTGGTCTCTCCGACAACTACAGCTATCGCTACAGCGGCTATGGCTGCTTCAGCACGTCTCCCACAAGGCTGGCGCCCACCAGCAACATCTGGCGCCAGAAGCGTAATCTCACAGCCTCACGAGCAGCAACTTAGTCAGCAACTCGTGCGAGGCGGAATGCGTTCCTCAACAGGGCTGGTCCCCGGATGGACCGGGGACTGCTACCCCATCCGCGGTCTTCCCGGTTGGACCGGCCGGTGGCCCGGGCCGGTTCCCTCCCGGTCGCCCCCAGCACGTTTTCGCTGGGGCTTGAAAAAAAAATTGGCGGCGCGATTGTGTTGTGGAGGGCTCGTGGGGGCGGGCCCTGCCCCGCAATTAGGAAACCGGGTCCTGCAGGCCCCATTTTTCGAAGTTCAAAAAGTGGCCAATCTTGGCTGCCGATCGTCGCAGATCAGCGGCAAAGATCGGCCACTGTTTTGAATCACTTCTGGCGGGAAACCGAATTCGCGCGCCGCGGGGGAAAACGCATCGCGCGTTCAACCCCGCTCACCTCCGTCGTCGCCTCGGACAGCCAGCCGTGCCATCGTCGCCACTGCCAGCCAGCCGCGCCATCGTAGGTAGGTCTCCGCAGGGTGCATCATCACCATCGTCGCCTCTGCCAGCCAGCCGCACCATCGCGCCCCCCGCCGACGAGCCACTCCATCACTCCCCAAGGTTTGTTTCTTCTTCTTCTTCTTCTCCGTGGTCACTCTCCTCGCCTGTTAGCCATAGCCGTCCTCCGTTTCTTCTTCTTCTTCTTCTTCTTCTTCTTCTTCTTCTTCTTCTACCTCCTCGTCCTCCTCTTCTAGTCCTCCTCTCTCAGCCATCGGCTTGCGCTCTTCTTCTTCTTCTTCTTCTTTTTCCTCCTCCTCCTCCTCCTCGTCCTCCTCCCGCTCCTCTTCTTCTTCTCGTCCCTCTTCTTCATCATCTTCTTCTTCTTCTTCTTCTTCTTCTTCCTCCTCCTCCTCCTCGTCTTCTTCTCCTCTGTCTTCTTCGTCATCTTCTTCTTCTTCTCCCTCCTCCTCCTCCTCCTCTTCTCCTCCTCCTCCTCCTCCGTTAGCCATAGCAGTTAATTTTATTTTATTTTTTTCGTTGCTGCTTCAAGCTTTCAACTCCATTGTGTTCTTCTTTTTCTTCTTCTCCCTCCTCCTCCTACTCCTCCTCTTCTCTCCCCTCTTCTTCGTCATTTTCTTCTTCCTCCTCCCCCTCCTCCTCTTGTTCTTCTCCTCCCTCTTCTTCATCATCTTCTTCTTCTTCTCCCTCCTTCTCCTCCTCCTCTTCTCCTCCTCCTCCTCCTCCTCCGTTAGCCATAGCCGTTAATTCTTTTTTTTTTTCGTTGCTGCTTCAAGCCTTCAACTCCCTTGCGTTCTTCATCTTCTTCTCCCTCCTCCTCCTCCTCCTCTTCTTCTCTCCCCGCTTATTCGCCATTTTCTTCTTCTTCCTCCTCCTCCTCCTCTTGTTCTTCTCCTCCCTCTTCTTCGTCATCTTCTTCTTCTTCTCCCTCATCCTCCTCCTCTTCTTCATCTCCTCCTCCATCAGCCATAGCCGTTAAATTTTTTCTTCTTTTTTTTCGTTGCTGCTTCAAGCCTTCAACTCCCTTGCCTTCGTCTTCTTCTTCTCCCTCCTCCTCCTCCTCCTCCTCCGTTAGCCGTAGCCATTAATTTTTTTTATTTTTTTTTCATCCCCCCCCCTCCCGGCACGCCCTCAAAAAAAGTTTCCAACATTCAGAGTTTTATTGCGGAATCCGACAGATCTCGGCAAGCGCAGTCGGATCCCGCAAAAAAAAAATAATAAAAAAAAAAATTGGCCGTTTTTTAAACTCTTTTTGGGCCATCCGGTTTGCCGGTTGACCCCGCCTGGCCCAGTCCGGCCCCGGTTGGACCGGGCCAGCTCAACCGGCCGGTTGCCGGCCCAGCCCTGTTCCCCAGTGGTCTGACTGACCTTTTGTAGCGTTGACGGGTGTTGACCGTTGTGGACCGGTCTCCCCTTTGATGGTGTTGACGCTTCAGATTTGTTTTTGCCAGATCTCGACGGCCTCGATGCAGCCTTGAAGCAGCGGTACCTTTTCCCTGTCGGGACCGGAATCTCCCGGATACCTGCAGAGACAACCATTGATGTATGTGCATCTGATCAATGGCCGAGGCTGACTACGGGGTTGACTTTGACTTTGGGCCTGATTTTCTCCCGTGCTTGTTCTGGCTCTTGATTTTCCAAGCGTCAACTACCTCACGTGGGGCCTCTGGCTGCTCTGTGTTTTTGACACACCCCTGGGTACCCCTTGACCCTAGGCTCCCCTTTCCCAGGCATTTCTCAGACTTGGGGGGTGACTTTTGACCCCTGATTCGGACTTTTGTAATGCACCCAGATCGTGAAGACAGTTATCAACAATGCAAGTCCAGATGTATGTCAATAGCTGATGATTACCAATAATCAAGATCGTGTCCAGACAGAATGAGACGAGATAATCATACACAGATGAAGGAGAGAGGAGGGAGATTAGACAAAGGAGAGGGAATAGATACAATGCCCACTCCTGCTTTGGGCTCCCTCCTCCAACACCACTTCAATAATCGACAGTCTGAACGACTATCTGAAGTATCCTCAATGAGCCACGTGGCACGTCTAATTAGTCCCTCATCAGCACTGGAGCATTGTCAACATGAAGACAACCAGGTACGTATTCACGATCTCTCCACAGCCCTGATCTTTCCCTTCCTCGCAACCAGTCACCTCATGTAGACGGTGTGGACAATGCCACGTCAGCAACCAAGACAGGTGGCATATGCCACATCATCAATGAAGACCAACAGCAGCGCCACGTAGACCAGAAGCAGCGCCACATATATCAGAGGCAGTGCCACACATATACCAGAGGCAGCGGCACGTCAGCATGCCACGTAGACCAGAGGCAGCGCCACGAATACCAGAGGCAGCGCCACGTCAGCATGCCACGTAGACCAGAGGCAGCGCCACATCAGCATGCCACGTAGACCAGAGGCAGCGCCACATCAGCATGCCATGTAGACCATAGGCAGTGCCACATGAACATGCCATGAAGACCACAGGCAGCGCCACATCAGCATGCCTGGCGTACAATGTCAGCGTCGCCTCTCCCTCGTGTCGTTGTCCGCAGCTCTGATGCACAGCCAGCGTCTAGCCAGCGTCGCGCTAGCATAATGCCAGCGTCAAGTCAAAGTCAAGACAGCGTTGAACCAGCATAGCAAGACTGAATGCTGACCACCTCAACGTCAAACTTTAAGTAGTGTTTGACGAGGCTCTCTGGCCTCGAGTCTCCTCCCTCAGTCGTCCAGATTGAGTCACAGCCGAAGGCCTGGATTGTACAGTTGCAGAATTTCCCCTTGTCTGGGTACCTGCATACAAACAAGTGTGTGTGCTTGACCGGTGGCCTGGACTGGGTACCTTTGGACTTTGACTGTTGGGGTCGCGACCGTTGACAAAAGTCAACTGTGGCACGCCCAGGCCCTGAATCCCTGTGTGGGGTCCCTTACCTCGTTTTTGGGCCTGGCTGCGGGCGGCCAGGTCGGCCCTCAGATTTCTACGAGGCATATGGCATGGGGTATTGCACTTTTGACAAAAAAGTTACGACCCATGTCCGCGGCAATGTGGATCTGAACTGAGTTTATCGCAAAGAACAGCCATCTTCTGGGGCACATCCGTTAAAAATGGAACGATACAGAGAAGATCCGCATGGCCTGTGTGTAAGGATTACATGTATAAATAGAGAAGCAGTCCCCCCCCTGGCCCCCC